TAGGAAAGAGAATAACTTGAATATTTGGTTACTGAAGAATGGATTTGGGAAGCCATTGGTGTTGTTCTCCAAGTATTTCATGTTCCTTTGTGGCATACACCTCCTGGAAGTTAGATGTGGTCACGAGACTTGTCTGGAATGCCCACAGAAGGGGCGTGTCACTTCACACAGGAGCTGAAAGTTTTGGTAAAAGACTCACCACACTCTCCATCCCCTGCCCTGCTAGTGATGGATACGGGTGTCAAGACTATACCTCCATCAGCCTGGGTGACAAAATGGAGGCCAAGATGGGCCTAAAAGCGGAGCAAAAAAGTCGCTTTGGTTGTGGAAATGCACTTAATTTTTTTCTTAGCATCACCTGGCTTGGGCCGTTGCAGAAGATGCCGCCATCGCCATGAATCCTGGAGACTTCTGTCATCCTGGCCTCACGCCCTTTCCCAGAGTCTCCCAGGTGACAGCACAGACCTGGTTCCTGCTGACCATGTGGGAATAGGTGTGAGAGAAGGACATCAAGGCCCTGGCGTCCATCCATCTGGCTCAATGAGGGTTCAATACTCACTCATTAGCTGAATGAATTCGAGCAACCTAGTTAATCTGTGTCAAACAGGGGTAATGGTGTTTGCCTGTTTCCGTTACTTACGCCTGTATAAGAAACCACCATGACTCACGCCTATAATCCCAGCTCTTTGGAAGAATGAGATGAGAGAATCACTCGAGCCCAGGAGTTTAAGACCAGCCTGGGCAACATCATGAAACCACATCTTTAGAAAAAAAAGAGAGAGAAAATTAGCCAAGCGTGGTGGTGCACATGTGTAGTCCCAGCTACTTAGGAGACTGAGGTGGGGAGATCACCTGAGTCCAGGAGGTCCAGGCTGTAGAGTCCAGAATTGTGTCCAACAACCGTTCATGATGCTGACAGATTTGAGAGTGAAGAACAGAGCACAAGCCAGGCGCCTGTCATTCCAGCACTTTGAGAGGCAGAGGCGAGAGGATTGCCTGAGCCCAGGGGTTCAAGACCAGCCTGAGAAACATGGTGAGACCTCATCTCTACAATAAATTAAAAAACTAGAAGGGCATGGTGGCACACACCTGTGGTTCCAGCTACTTGGAAGGCTGAGGCGTAAGGATCGCCTGAGCACAGAAAGTTGAGGCTGCGGTGGCCATGGGCATGCCACTGCACTCTAGCCTGCGAGACAGGGTGAGATTCTAACTCAAAAAAACCCGCAGCAACAGTGGTTCATCTGCATACCCTGTGCCCAGAGCCCAGGCAAATCCTCAAAGAACAGCTAGAATCATCTGGAGGTTCACACACTCACACCATGGCGGCTGAGTGGCTGGTGTTGGCTGTTGACGGAGGCCTTCAGCCTAAACTCCCACATATGGCCTCTTCGTGGCCTAGGCCTCCTCGCAACATGCCTCAAGGGAGAAGACAGAAGCCACATCCTGTGTGTGCCCCAGCCTTGGAAGTTACGCAACGTCACTACCACCGCAACCTACTGCTCAAGGCAGCCGCAAGACCTTGCCTGGACTTCAGGAGGGGTGGAAAACAGGATGCTTCTTCCGAGGCCCAGCGGGATCTAGAAGGGTATGTGAGACCAGAAATCAACACTGCTATGGCCACCTTCAGAAAACAAAAATCTGCCACCCTTGCTCAGTGAAGACTGAATGCACAGCCAAGCACAATCAAGCACTCAGCAAGGTTGCTCAGTGTTTGGTATGGTCCACCATACAGTCTAGAACCACGTGAAATAGCCTCACTGCCAGATTCCCCCTTCTGTGGGGACTGTCAGGTGATACACACCCAGTGACACCAGCAGAGCACAGGAGCCTGGAAAGGTTTCTGGGACTGACCAAGCCTGGATGTTCCCTGTCCGTCAGACTCTGGCCTGGACATGCCAGTAATGCTGAGACCATGGCGAGGCGTCCTCCCGCCTACTGACCATGCTTTGCCGCTGTGGGTGGTGAATGTCCTCACACACTCTTCCTTCAAGCAGCGGTCCTCTGGGCTGGGCCAATACCCATCACCTTTGGTTACCTCTAGCCCATCTTTAGCTCATGACAACATGAAAAATCCTTCCCCTAGAGAGAAATCACAGCCGTTTTGTGTATGTGCAGGATATGAAGCACGCTCCTACACTGTACCTGCACACTAGAAACTCCGCCTGGCCCATGCTTAGCCCTGCCTCCGACCTGTGCAACATGCTTTATAATCTGCATGACTTTTACCCTCGAGAGTAGAGTGGGTCTTTCTGTCCTGGCAGCTACTGGACCTTCTCTGTATGTTCCTGAATAAAGCCTGAGTCTCATCCCTTGTCTCCAGGCCCTGAGACAGTTTGCCTTCCCTTTTGGGGTCTTTGGGGGCCCGGCACTACAGGGACCCACCCCACAGATCCCTTATCAGATTCTGGACTCAACAAAGGCAACCCCAAGACGGGTGACATTCAGAAGGATGCTCTGATGCTGTGGTCACAACACATTCATACAACGGTGTAACACAAGGGCATTTCCCACAGAGTAGGCATACCCCTTCAGAGGCTGGGCTTCCACGGGCCTGGGACTTGTTCCTTTTTATATCTTCCTTGTAGAGTATATAAGAAGCTTTGAGGCAGCCAGGTGGCTCATGCCTGTAATCCCAGCATTTTGGGAGGCAGAGGGGAGAGGATTGCCTGAGCCCAGAGGTTTGAGACAAGCTTGGGAAACTTGGTGAGATCTCGTTCTACAATAAACCAAAAGTTAGGCGGGCATGGTGGCACATGCCTGTAGTTCCAGCTACTTGGAAGGCTGAGGTGAAAGGATCACCTGAGCCCAGAAGGTTAAGGTTGCAGTGGCCGTGAGCATGGCAGTCCTCCAGCCTGGGCGACAGAGTGAGACTCCGACTCAAAAAAAAAGAAAAGAGCTTGAAGGCCTTGTGTTAACCAAGATAATTCACCTACCTTGTACAATCATGCCTTCATAGTGAGGGAGCTGTGAGAAAAATGTTAGAACTGTGAAAAAGCAATGATAGGTAAGGTGGTTTTTATTTTATTTTGTCTAGCACCAAAGCCCCACACCCTAGAAAACTGGCAGTGTGTGGCTTATACCATTCCTTGATACTGCAATGTACATTGTTGGGGTTTTTTGTTTGCTTTGTACTGTACATTGTATAATCATTATCAGTCAAGCTTCCCAAGTATTACTTATGCCACTAAGCTTGGCTGGTCAAGGCTTTGTCAGGAGGAATATATGCCTAGAATCAAATCTTGTGAGGGTTAAGCAATTCAAGCACCTGCAGACACAAGAAAATCATTAAAAACAATCTAATATTAATCGATGACATTTCCTGTTTCCCGGAGACATTTTCTTTTTTGGGAGTCAGGGTGTCCCTCTGTCACCCAGGCTGGAGTGCAGTGGGGATCATAGCTCACTCACTGCAGGCTTGAACTCCCAGGCTCAAGTCATCCTCCTGTCTTAGCCTCCCAAATAGTTAGGACTTCAGGAACGCACCACCATGCCCAGCTAATTTTTTATTTTTGTAGAGACAGGGTCTTGTTATATTGCCCAGGTTGGTCTCAAACTCCTGATCTCAAGTGATCCTCCCAAAATGCTGAGATTATAGGTGTGAGGCAGCACACCCAACCCCCAAATATTTTTAAGGCCTACAGCTGGCCTAAAACAACCTTTCAACTTACCAGCTGAACTCCCACCTACTCACTCACTACACCAGGCATTCTCATATCCACCTATGATCCAGGTGCCTTTTCAAAAGCTCATAAATGCTAAACTCACCTTTATAATGTATTTCAAAATGTCCATACAGCCAGGAATAGTGGCTCAAGTCTGTAATCTCAGCACTTTGGGATGCCGAGGCAACAGGATTGCCTGAGCCTGTGAGTTCGAGAGCAGCCCAGGCAACATGCTGAGACCTCCTCTCCACAATAAATTAAAAAAAATTAGCCAGGCGTGGTAGTGCGTGCCTATAGTTCTGGCTACTTGGAAGACTGAGGCAGAAGGATAACCGGAGCCCAGCAGGACGATGCTGGGATAGCTGTGAGCTGCTGTGGCACTCCAGCCTGGGCAACAGTGGGACTTCAACTCAAAAAAAAAAAAAAAATGCTGTCCATAAACAACCATCGGGCATTCAAATAAAAATCTTCTACCTCTTCACTGAATGCTTCCTTATTATTTCTATTTAGACTCAGAGTTCCTTTTAGCAGAAATGCTTAGCTCAGAGGCTATATGGGGTGGCTCACACCTGTAAACCCAGCACTTTGGGAGGCTGAGGTAGGACTGCTTGAGCCCAAACAACACAGCGAGACCTCCTCTCTACTGGGGAGGCTGAAGCAGAAGGACCACCTGAGTCCAGGAGGTTGAGTGTCATCAGCCGTGATCTTGCCACTGTACTCCAGCCAGGGTGACAAAAGTAAAACCCTGATTCAAAAGAAATAAAATAATTAATGCTTAGTCCAGGTTGTCAGGATGGGCATCATAGAACAGGATGGGCAAGCCATGACCCCTGAGCTGCATCCAGCCCTACTTTTATGAAGTTTTCCTGGAATGTGGCTGCGTCCATCTGTTCCTAGTCTATGTAGCTGCTTTTGCACCATAGCAGCTGAGCTGAATGAACAGCCCCAAGAGGTCCACAAAGCCTAAAATCCTACTGCCTGGCCCTTTATAAAGAAAATCTGACCCAGTCTCCAAAAGAGATGCCAACTCAAAAAACCTGAAAACTGAATTACTATCTTACAAAACAGAGTTGCCAGACTCGGTCTCCAGAGTCAGCTGGACCAGCTGACAGAGCATAGGCAGAACGGAGACAGGGAGGTTGCACGAGGACCATACTACGAGGCAAGGCTGGAAGGAGGCCCCGTGGCCCATGGGTGGAGACCCAAACGTCCCCTAAAGTAGTCCTGCCAGCACCAGACCTGTTCTCTTCCTAGCTCACCACAATGCAACAAAGGCCACCCCATCCCTGGTCACCTCTAGTGAAGGGGCCATGGGAGTATTCATGACAATGCAACATATAAGATTTACAATGTTTATTTCGTCCAACCCAAGTAAGCCCAGGTGGTGACTCAATGCCCCCAGCCGCCCCCAGGCTCCCTGCCCGTCACAAGGAGAAATGCCGCTTTCCCTCCGCCACCAAGGGTGTGCCTAAGCTTTGGCAGCCGACTTGTAGTGGGTCAGTGTGCGGGCAGACGGGTCGGTGGCATTGATCCACTTGGGCATCCAGTAATGGCTGAGCCAGTCGGCCCGGCCTGGGTAGTGACGCTCAAAGATCTGACGGTAGTAGTAGCCTTCTTTGGTCTTAGGAGTGTTGAAGGGAAATTTCTGGGCTGCATTTGCCATCATGGCATCGTCAACCTATAAGAACAAAGGGTGTAAGAGCAAGGGGGTTTGTAGATGGCAGGGAAAGATTTGTCTCTAGTTGGAGTTCACAAATCAAACAAAGCTCAATAAAGCATGCCTATAAGCTGGGAGTGAGGCTGAAGCACTCGTTACTCAGAAATGCTGAGACACCTGTCCGTGCAGAGCTGCGACCTCTAAACAGCATTCACATGCACACTTCTAACACTTGGCAGTTGAGTGTTTCAGCCATTTATGCCTAAGAACATCTGGCTCCAGCAGAGGGGCCTAAAACATGTTAAATGAAGGCCTGTGATGATTAGTAAGTCTCCTCTCTCTCTCAAGTCTAGATACTACTTTATAAGCTTTCATGCTCACTTATGTCACCCAGGCTAGAATGCAGCGACATAATCACAGCTCAATGCAGCCTCAACCTCCTGGGCTCGGGCAATTCTCCCACCTCAGCCTCCCAAGTAGCTGGAACTATAGGCATGTGCCACCACACCCAGCTAATTTTTTGTAGAGACAAGGTCTTACTATGTTGCCCAGGCTGGTGTCGAACTCCTGAGCTCAAGCAACTCTCCCGTCTTGGCATCCCAAACTGCTGGGATTATAGGCGTACACCACCAAGTCTGGCCAAATTCTTACATAATTCTTACAAAAGAGGTAAGAGACTATGAATCTCTGTAGTTTGTAGAGACTATGAATCTCTCCTACAGACACAAAACATTCAAACTAAATACAAAATGAATAGTAGTAATGGCAGCTCTGCACCCAAATCGTCCCATTTGAGAAAATGTTTTTAAAGACATCATACCTGATGTTCAACAAATTCCTGTAAAATCTTAAACCAGGAATTCTTCACTGAGGTTATTCCATCGCTGAAGGCTTCTTTTGGTCGCCAGAGAATCTCCTTAGGAATCAGATTAGAGTCTTCAAACGTCTCTCGGAGGAGATGTTTTTCTATCCCATTCTGACACGAAAACACAAGGAACATCAGTCAGAGTTGCAGACACGACCTGCAGGCGGCAGACAGACTCCGTCAAATTGATTAACCCACCTTTGGTACTCTCATGTCTGGCGGCAGAGACAAGTAATAGGAAGAAAACCGGTGGTCCAGAAACGGGACTCTCAGCTCAAGGCTTCAAGGAAAAAGAAAATCCACATGAGGGATGTCTAACCTTTGGGTTGCCCTGGGCTGTACGGAGTAAAGGGGAATTGTCTTGGGCCACATGTCAATTATGTAACACAGTTAGTGCATATACATAATTCACAACTGCAATGGCCATTTTGAGTTTTTTACCACCAAATAATTCAGAATACACATACAAAATGCAATATAAATCAGTGTTCCACTATATTTCATCAAACGTCATCTCATCTGTTCCTGGAATCCTACAGACTCTGGTTAGGACGAGCAGATGGGCCCATAAACACGGATAGGCCTTACATGGAGTTTACAATCTTAGAGAGACTACAGATGGCTGAGGAGCTGTCCCTCATGGTTATTCAGACGTGAGCAGAATGCTTGTTACCCTTCACAGATGCAAACTCTGCCTAAAACAACCGGAAGAAGAAGACCCCTCCCCATGACTACGACTACATTATTTATTTAGTCTAGTTCTTTTAGGGCTAAGAGACAAGTTCCATTTTCTCTATAAAAGTCACAGTTTGCAGCATATAGCCAACCGAAAAGAAGAAAAAAAACTCAGCCAGGGAACTTTTCATTTTTTGAGTTTTTTTTTTTAAATCCCTTCTGAAAATGTCAAGTTACCCGTGGGCAGCCGTGGTCCGATCAGCACGGAGGACATCAAACAGGTAGAGTTCCTTCAGCAGCCGCTCACTCTCTTCCTCGGCTTCCTCAGGAGAAGGGGCCTGGTGAACAGACAAAACAGCTGACAGCCCGACAACCCACACTTTTGCTTTCTGAGTTGTTATTTCTCCCTCTTAACTCATTTGCGATCGTGAACGTGAAATTACATCATTCCAAATTCTGTTCTTGGTTGCCACTGATGTAAATTTACATCTTTGCAATTCTGTTTTTGAATAATTAATATTTGGTTTACAATCCAAATAAGAATATAAATACGGAATGCTAATCAAGAGTAGTATGTGAGGCAAATTCTGGAGATATCTGCAACTTTCAGCTGTATTATGAGAAAGGTGACAATTTAGAAAAGATCACTTCACTTGTGCTTAATGACAGACATTTACAGCAAGCAGCTTCAGATTTTTTTTAAATTTTCACCCACAATCAGTATTAGGAAAGTGAAAAATTTGCTGATCACAAATCTGTTAAATATATTCCAGTGCTAAAGGTGAGTATGAAAAGCTAACCAAGATTAGGAAAGGAGTGAACACCTCACTCCTCCCATCAGAACTGTGCGTGTGAGAACAAGTAAGATGCACACATTGGCTGTGCGCAGTGGTTCATGCCTATAATTTCAGCATTTTGGGAGGCGGAGGTGAGAGGATTGCCTGAGCCCATGGGTTCAAGACCAGCCTGGGCAACATGGCGAAACCTTATCTCTTCAATAAATCAAAAAATTAGCCAGGCGTGGTGGTGGCACATGCCTGTGGTCCCAGCTACTTGGAAGGCTGAGGCAGAAGGATCTCCTGAGCCCAGCAGGTCGAGGCTGCAGTGGCTATAAGTATGTGATTGCACTCCAGGCTGGGTGACAGAGTGAAACTCCAAAACTTCAATTCAAAAAAGAAAAAAAAGCCAGGCTCGGTGGCTCAGGCTGTAATCCTGCGCCTTTGGGAGGCTGAGGTAAGTGGATTGCCTGAGCCCGCAGGTTTGAGAACCGCCTGGGCAGTGAGACCTCATCTCTACAATAAATCAAAAAATCAGCCAGCCGTGGTAGCGCACACCTGTAGTTTCGGCTACTTGGAAGGCTGAGGTGGAAGGATCGCGGGAGCCCAGCGGGTCAAGGCTGTGGTGGCTGGGAGTGGTCACTGCACTCCAGTCTGGGTAACAGAGTGAGACTCCAACTCAAAAAAAAAAAAAGAAAAAAGACGAACACACTGCACAACACCCATAACTCCACAGGGATGAGGAACAACAGAAAAGTGACTCTCATTCTTAACTAGCTTTAAGTACAGTAAGTCCCCTACATATGCGCCTTCAGGTTATGAACTTTAGCAGTGAACACCTGTGTCTTTTTATGTATTATTTCTCTCCTGCAGGTGTCAGTATAGCTTGTTAAGTACACACAGTACTGTATAGCCAACTGTGTTAGCTGAACAGACAGAAGACAGAAAAGTCAAGTAATTCCCACTTCTCTGAATACAGCACACATGTCCACCCATGCTAGAGTGCTCACCTTGTGAAAATATATATAACCCTGCGTAAGCTCATCCGATCCCTCTCCAGAGAAGATCACCACACTGTCCGTGTTCTTCCGAATATACTTGGAAATTAAATACATACCTTCAAGGAGAGAAATTCATGTCAATGTCAACATAACCCTCCACGAAAAAAGCTTTTTATTTGATTTTTGGAAACACCTGCACACTTTCACTACTATATTGGACTTCACATCAATATAAGGTAGTTTCTACAATAATGACCTTATACTTACAAGTCATTTATAGGTACTTAATCCAAAAGTAACACTGTTAAGATAAAATAGCCCAGAACCATTCTATAATTTTAGAAACAGGTTTTAAAATTATAATGTTATTAGACTAAGAACGTCCACCTTGAAATTTTAGTAAACTGAATAATGACTTAAAAACCTAAAGAACACGCCTGTGAACAGTGATGGTACCATACAGGAAAAAAAGTTTGAGGCCAGGCGTGATAGCTTACACCTGTAATCCCAGTGCTTTGGGGGGAGAGGCAAGAGGGCTGCCTGAGCCCAGGGGTTCAAGACCAGCCTAGGCAACTTGGCAAAACCTTGTCTCTACAATAAAACAAAAAATTAGCCGGGTGTGGTGGTGCATGCCTATAGTTCCAGCTACTTGGAAGGCTGAGGCAGAAGGATCACCTGAGCCCAGCAGTTTGAGGCCTGTGGTGGCCATGAGTGTGCCACTGCACTCCAGTCTAGTGAAAAAATTAGAGTCCAACACAAAAAATAAAAAAATTAAGAGTTTGGGTAGTACAATAAATCAAAAAGTTAGCCAGGTGTAGTAGCGTGCGCCTGTCTTTCTAGCTACTTGGAAGACTGAGGTGGAAGGATCACCTGAGCCCAGCAGGTCAAGACTGCAGTGGCCATGAGCATGCCACTGCACTTCAGCCTGGGCGACAGAGGGAGACTCCAAGTCAAAAAAAAGGGCTTGGGTAGTTTCAATTTTAGCTTCTTTTTGATTTTGTTGGGTTCTATCCCTTGCCCCTCTCTGCTTATTAGGTTTTGCACAAGTGGAGGAGACTGTTTAAGTTATTAGAACATGCCTGCCTGGTTCCATCCCTCCCAACAGGGCTCCTCCTCACCCACCTAGGGAGCCTGTTTAGAGGCTGATTTCCCTAATCCTGCCCCATCCCATGAAACTCCAACACCAGCGAGAGTCCATCTGTTTGCTTATCGTGATGCTTGGAGAGCCATGCACCACTGTGATACATAAGATTTTTCTGCCCTCCAGGGCAAGTCTCTTTTAAGAGAGGCAATAGTGTATGAAGGCTCAGCCACATGGGATCAGTGTGACTCAGGGCTGCTTCCAAACTCAAGATGTTTCTACAGGATAAAGCTGGCACAGTCCACAGGGCAATGACAGCCAGTGACTGACATGCTGTATGATGGAAGAGTTATCAAAATACATCTGAACAACTGCCTCTTATGAAAAACGCGTTACAACACAGAGCTACTTCCTCATTTTATACAGACTGTGGAACGAAGAAACTTCATATAGAGAAATGAGGAGAGGGGCAGAAGGTATGTGTCCACTCCTTGGAGAAACATAAACAGTGACAGCATAAATGTCAAGGTTGAACTGTGTATTTACTGTTCCCTTCCCTCAAAAAGAGAGTCAGAGAATTCTTAAGTAGTCTTAAACGATTAGTAATGTAAGAATTTAATCTATATTCATTCTTTTTTTTTTTTCAATAATAGAGACAGGGTCTCACTATGCTGCCCAGGCTGATCTTGAACTCCTGGCTTCAAGGGATCTCCCCACCTCGGTCTCCCCAAAGTACTGAGATTATAGACGTGAGCCACCTCTTGGCCTGCATTCATTCTTGAATCATTTTTTTTTAATACTTGTTTGAAATAATAATTTTTAGACCTTGTATTTTCTCAGTATTAAAAAAAACCTTTTAAATACCATAAAAGAATACCTTACCCACTGAAGCACGAACTGTGGTAATGTCATAAGTTTCCAAGGAAAATATGACTTCATCTAAGGCCTGAATGCCTTCCTCAGAGTTAAAGAGGACTTCGTGATGTTCACTCCCAATGTGATTTGCTACCTAATTATGTAAAGAAACATCCACATGCTAGTTAAAGGAAAGAATCACCCCTGAAAATGAAACATGCCAGGAGTCCACAAGGCATGAATTAACAACAGGAAAAACCAACAAGTTGAAAGGGGATATGATTTTACAAACCACCACAAACAAAGGGAACCCAAAAATCCCAAAGTCTCTTTTGGAGGGCAGGCCCCTTGTAGTACAGGCTTCCCCTGCTAGGTGAGTGTTCTAGGAACCCATCAGCATCAGTGTGCCAGCTAGTGTTGTTATGAGGCTGCATTCAGCTTCAGTGAATTTTGTCTGAAGATTCTTTCAACACATTTCTCCACGAAAGGTAATTTACAAGTGTACCTGCCCACACCGCACTGACTGTTCAGCAGTTTTTGCCCCAAAATGGCATGACCCACGTGTCCCGCCATCCCTATTCACCCAATCTTGTCCCCAGCAACTTTATTTTGTTTCCCTGGATGAAAAAAGTCCTCAAAGGGAAACGTTTCGCCAACATGGGAGAGGTGAAACAAAAAATGGCAGAAGTACCAAAAGGCATCAAAACTGATGATTTTTGAAACTGTTTTGAGCAGTGGAAAAAGTATCTCAATAGGTATATTACATCAGAGAGTACTTTGAAGGTGGCTGGAGTTTGAACATGTAAGAATAAACACACAATGTCTTATAAATAAATTCTAGGGTTTTTGGGTCCCCCAGGACAACCCCCACCAGCCAGGTTCCCTCGCCTGCCCCAGACCCTCTGACCTCTGCTCAGCCACCAAGAAGCTTACCTCTCCAAGGAGTCAACCACTCTCCCAACCAGCGCCTCACCCCCACCTACTCTACCTAACCAGGATGTCACACGCTGGCACCACATGGTCCCACTCCAAACCTGGGCTCCTGTGGCCCTACTGAAGTGTCTGGTCTTACAGGATGTTGTGCCTGTAAAGAACGGCCCCGATCTCTGGCTGCTCTCTGTGGCTCTCTGTGGTCCCCTCCGCATCAACCACCCTGATCTGGGACCACTCAGCCCCTTGTCATCTACCCTTCGAGAGTTCTCCACACAGGTGGGAGCTGGGTCTCGTGAACAGAGATAAGGTCTAAACAGGCCTTATAAAAACAAAAGATAATAATAGCAGCTAGCATTCACTACGTACTTACTGCATGCTAGGCTCCACCCTACTTACTTTATAAGAATTGTATCATTTTACCCTAAAACTATCCAACTGTAGACAATGTCACTCCCGTTATGTAAATGAGGAAAGCCAGAATTTGAAACAGAAATCAGGCTCCAAAGCCTGCAGTCTTAGCCACACAATATCACTGTCTTTCTCTTCTTTCTTTTAGATTGCCCAGCAGGTCGAGGCTGCGGTGGCTGCATTCCAGTCTGGGCAATAAATTAAGACTCAGATTCAAAAAACTAAAAATTTTTTAGGAGTTGGGGGTCTCACTATATTACCCAGGCTAGACTCTACCTCCTGGGCTCAAATGATCCTCCTGCCTCGGCCTCTGAAGTAGCTGAAATTATAGGCATGCACCACTGCAGCCGGTTCATGTCTTTACTTTCAGAAAGACAAAATTAGTATTACAGGGTCTTTGTGAAGATTCTGTGGGTCATAACAGATACAAGTACCCAGAACACAGTGTGCATACAACACAGGGGATACTCAACAGGCATTTCATTCCATTTTAATACATTTAATTTAAAGCAATTGCCTGAGTCAATACAGCAGCAAAAGTAGAATCATCAACCACTGACTCGATTTTCCTTCTAAAACAAATCCATTTTAACTACACGATGGGCAGAGACAAGGCCATACCTTTCTAGCAGCCAGCAAATCGGGGCTGTCTTCCATGCCAATCGCAAACGTCTGGAGAGCATACTGTACTTGGGCCTCTTTCAGCTGCTTTAGCAGGGTGGCAGCGACCAGGCTGGAATCCAAGCCCCCTACATGCAAGAGAGAAAGCAGACTGGTTATGTGCCTTACGGGACTGACTGGCCAGGCACTGTGGCTCATGCCTGTAATCCCAACACTCTGGGAGGCAGAGGTGGGAGTACTACTCAAACCCAGGTGTTTGAGACCAGCCTAGGCAACATAGGGAGGTCTCGTCTACAAAAAAATCAATTAGCTATGCCTGGTGGTGCATGCCCATAGTCCCAGCTAACAGGAAGTTGAGGTAGGAGGATCGAGCCCAGGAGGTTGAGGCTGCGGTGAACCATGATAATGACACTGCACTCCAGCCTAGGTGACAGTGAGACCTCGACTCAAAAAAAACAAAAAGACAGGAAAAGATGACACACATTCCTGTTAAACACCAGGACTGTAGTTTACTAATGATAATCCTGTTTGTCAACTGAAATCAACTTTTACAGAAAAAAAAACATATAAACTGAGATCATGGTAGCAGTGTTTGAACTGGTTAAAAAGCACTACACAGAAATATAAAGAATGTTTACTAGTTCACTCTTACATCAGTTAACATAGCTGCAGTATCACTCAAGTTGCAGTATTACTGTGACTAATAGACTCAGCTTGCCAGGCCAGTAGCTCACACCTATAATCCCAACATTTTGGGAGGCTGAGATGAGAGGACTGCTTGAGCCCAGGAGTTCTAGACCAGCCTGGACAACTTGGAGAGACCTCATCTCTACAGAAAATCAAAAAATTATCTGGGTGTGGTGATGCACGCCTGTAGTTCCCACTACTTGGAAGGCTGAGGCGAAAGGATTGCCTGAGCCCAGCAGGTCGAGGTTGCGGTAACTATGGGCTTGCCACTGCACTCCAGCCTGGGCAACAGAGTGAGACTCTGACTCAAAAAATAAACAAACAAACAAATGAACAAATAAATGCAGCTTGTAAGATACCTTTTCATCCTAGAATGAAGGAAAGATGAAATAATATAGTTAAATATTTTATAGTCAAAACCAAAGGGATGGTTACCCATCATTAAACATACACTGTATATAGTTAGGGTTTTTAGCTGACTTCACCTGACAGCAGGCAGCCGATCCTTCTGTCAGTCATCAAACGCTTTTTCACAGCATTGTTAAAAAGGATCCGCAGGTTGCTCTTCACTGTTTCTAGCTCAAAACCTGCAGCACAAGAAGTCACTGAAACAGCTCCAGAGAAGTTCTGGATTTTCTGAATTAGCTAATAAAATAAGGGGCACAACACCAACACCCACCCCATGCCTTCCGCTCACTGGCAGAGCCTGCCACGTCCTGATGTTTGACCCTCAGAGTAATCAGGAACAGGTCTTGAAGCCAAGGCCACGAAGCAAGGGGCCAGCCTCCCTCCCTGGGGAGGGGGCAGGAGTGCGTAGGGGCAGTTACCTGGGAAGAGCTTCCCCACGCTGTCATACAGGGCGTGCAGGGGTTCCCCCCGACAGTGATGGTACTTCACTGTTTCCACGGATGCCACTTTGCCGTTCGGCTTCAGGTCCAAAACTTCATAATGTCCAGGAAGAAAAGGCTCCACTTTTAAGAAGGGGGCCGTAGAGTGCTTCAGTGTAACAAGACCTAGAGTCAAAGGGAGGCCTTGACGCCCATCAGGCAACACTTCCCAACAGCTTTCACATCCACAATGTCACTGACATGCCCCTTATACAAAGCAAAGCAGGAAAGCATGTCATCACCCGAAGCCCTACCATCTGCTTACTAGAGAAAAAACGGTAGCATAGAGACACACAGCAAAATCACACTGATTACTTTTTTTAAAATATAATTACCATGGTGTCTTTTTGTTTCTTTTTTTAAAGATGTGGGGTACAATTCAGGATTCGGTATACAAGTGGTCATCGAACAGGTAAAGTTTGGGCCTCCCTTTGGTCCCCACTTGGCCTGGTTTGAGATCAGGTACCCTTACTGATGTTTTGCCCCCTCCACGCCACCCCAATCACACTAATTTCTAGTCATTCAAAGCAACTGAAAAATCTATAGTGTTCAATTCTTTTATTTATTTATTTATTTATTTATTTATTTATTTATTTATTTTTTTGAGTTGGAGTCTCACTTTTGCCCAGACTGGAGTGTCCGGCAATCCTTCCGCCTCAGCCTTCCAAGTAGCTGGAACTACAGGCGCATGCTACCACGCCCGGCTAATTTTTTTTGATTTATTGTAGAGATGAGGTCTCGCCTGCCCAGGTAGGTCTCGAACCCACGGGCTCAGGCAATCCACTCACCTCAGCCTCCCAAAGGCGCAGGGTGTTCAATTCTTTTTTCCTAGCTAGACTTTCTGATCAAGGAAATCTACTTTCCACAATAAAACAAATAAATATAAAAAGAAATTTATGAAGGAGAGACGAAACTGAATTTTAATTTTATGATATCCTGGCAGTCATTTTTTTGTTACCACTGAGTAGTTTCCGAAAATAGGTTCCCAGGCCTTTACAAGCAAAATGAGCCTGGTGCGGTGGCTCACACCTGTAATCGCAGCATTTGGAAGGTGGAGGTAAGAGGTTTGCCTGGGCCCAGGGGTTCGAGACTAGCCTGAGCAGCATAAGACCTTGTCTTTACAATAAATCAAAAAATTAGCCAGGCATGGTGGCATATGCCTGTGGTTCCAGCTACTTGAATGGCTGATGCGGAAGGATAGCCTGAGCCCAGCAGTCTGAGGCTGCCAGGATGGCCATGAGCGTGCCACTGCACTCCAGCCTGGATGACAGAGTGAGATTCCAACTCAGAAAAAAAAAATTTTTTTTAAAAGAAGGCAGACATTTATCTCTCAACTTGTGGTTACACACTATATATGAATAAAACTGTATTAATTTAAATTTCCTCAAAAAATTCTCACAGGCAGTACCCACCTGACATCACCATGATCACTGACAAAAATCAATGTTTTATTTTACCTATTTGCTTGTTTTTTAGTCAGGATCTCACTGTCACGCAGGCTGGAGTGCAAGTGGCATGAGCACGATGATCCTGGCTCATGGCAGCCTTGACCTTCTGGGCACAAGCGATCTTCCCACCTCAGCCTCCCAAAGTGTTGGGATTATAGGCATGAGGCACTTCACCCAGCCTACCCTCTGAAACTTCTGGATTGTTATTTTCCACATCCTTCATCCTGTTCTTTCCAGACTGTGTGATCTCACCTCAAGTACTGCAATAGTTTTCCTTGATGCTTCTGGAATAACCTATCAGAAACTCATCTGGTCATGGTCCTACATGCTTAAAACTACGTAATTACTCCCCATTCCCAAGCCAATTGCCAGTTGTGTAGCCACTTGAGCCCTGCTGCCTAGTGAGGGGATCTGGGCCCTTTTTCTGGTCTTTAAATTTGGCTCTATACCGATGATTGGGTTGACAATCACAAAAGATAAATCACATTGTGAATTATAAATCAATTGTTAATCAAAATGAGGCTTTTGGTAGATAGGCTGTTACTATTAAAAATAAAACACTGAGGCCAGGCACGGTGGCTCAAGCCTGTCTTCCTAACACTTTCAAGACCAGCCTGGACAACATAGCAAGACCTCATCTCTACAAAAAAATATTAACCAGGCATGGTGGCGCATGCTAGTAGTCCCAGCTATTGAGAGGCTGACACAGAAGAATCACTTGAGATCGAGAGTTGGAGGCTGTGGTAAGCCATGATCATGCCACTGTACTTCAGATTGGGCAATAAAGTGAGACACCAACTCAAAAAAAAAATTTTTCCAGGGTCAATTGGACATGAGATTATAGTTCCGTATCATGGGATCATCAATTAAGCCAAAAGAAAACTCAGTGGATGGAACAGGAGGTGGCTTTTCCGTGGTGCCCTCTCTGCTGGTCTTGCCTAGGAGTACTGTGGGTTACTGATGTGTGTATGTCACCATTTGCTCTCACTAGAACTGCTTAAACATAGACTCATCCAGGCATTAGTACCCACACTGTGTCTCATGTCCCAAGGACCCTTTGACTTCATTATCCTTGCATCAAGCAATACCAAATCTGAAAATGAAATGAGCAGCAGTTTAAGGAATAGCAAAAGGCAGGGACGTGGCGTTTGGGGCCTTAAGGTTGTACAGGTTAAGAGGTAAGCAGAGGCCAGGCACCATGGCTCATGTCTGCAATCCCAACACTTTGGGAGGCAGAGGCAAAAGGATTGCCTTAGCTCAGGGGTTCAAGACCAGCCTGGGCAACTTGGCGAAACCTTGTCTCTACAATAAATAAATTTTAAAAAATTAGCCGGGTGCAGTAGCACGCACCTGCTACTTGGAAGGCTAAAGCAGAAGGATCACCTGAGCCCAGCAGGTCAAGGCTGTGATGGCCGTGAGTGTGTCACTGCACTCCAGCCTGGGCGTCAGAGTAAGACTCTGATTAAAAAAAAAATAAAGAGGTAAGGGATGAGTGTCTTCCTCACACTCATCATCAACCCATTCTGTCTTTTCACCTTCTTGATGGTGTCCTCAGATGGACAAAAACATTTAATCCTGATGAAGTTCAATGTATCAATTTGTCTTTTGTTGCTGGTGTCACAGTGAAGAACATTTGAAATCCAAGGTGATGAAGATTTACCCCTATGTTTGCTTCTCAGGATTTGACAGTTTTAGCTCTTACATTTAGATTTTGTTTGTTTGTTTGCCTAATTTTTTGATTTACTGTAGAGATGAGGTTTCACCAAGTTGCCCAGGTTGGTCTCGAAGCTCTAGGCTCAGGCAGTCCTCCTGCTTGGCCTCCCGAGGTGCTGGAATTACAGGAGTGAGCTATCACACCCAGCTGATTTTTTTATTTATTGTAGAGACGAGGTCTCGTCAAGTTGCCCAGGTTGGTCTCGAACTCCTGGGCTCAGGCAGTCCTCCTGCCTCAGCCTTGCATGGTGTTGGGGACAGACATGGGCCACCATGCCTGGCTGATTTTTGTACATTGGTCTTGCATCCTGCAAATATGTGAGCATGAGGGATCTGTATCTAGAAGATGAGGAACCAGTACAATTCCATAATTTTTAAAAAACCCAATTTTAAAAACGAATCATTCAAAAATAGATAAACTGTGGGACACGCAAAGAAACAGAATAGTATTCAGCCATAAAAATAAATGAGTGATCAAGCCACACTAATTGTGCCATTGGAGCCATTGGAGAAATCTCAAACGCATACTGTTAAGTGAAAGAAGCCAATATGGGGGTGGAGGGGGACACAACATCAATAAGGGTACCTGATCTCAAACCAGGCAAAGTGGGGACCAAAGGGAGGCCTGAACTTTACCTGTACAATGACCACCTGTATACCTAATCCTGAATTGTACCCTACATCTTTAAAATATAAAAAGGGAAAAAATAAGAATCACTGAAATCCATAGTTGACATGAAAAAAAAACAAAGAAGAAGACAATCTGAAAAGGCCACATATTATATGACGGCAACTATTACATGGCATTCTGTGAAAGACAAAACTAGAGCCAGTAAAAATGACAGTGGCAGCCAGGGGTTGGGGCCCTGGGAAGAATGACTAGTGGGAGCACAGAGACTTCAGAGCAGTGAACTACTCTATGTGACACTGCAACGGTGGATACGTGACAGGCATTTGTCAAACCCAAGAGTCTATACAACACAAAGAGTGAGCCCTAATGTAAACTATGGACCATGGTTAATAATAATATAGCAATATCAGCTTGCCAAGTCTAACAAATAGAACAAGATGCTAAAAGTAGGGGAAGCCATGAAAAGCGGAGTATATGTGGGCTTTTGCACCCTATTTTTATTTTTTATTTTTTTATTTTTTGGTCTTTAAGAATCTGGAGAAACTCTGTACTTTCTTTTCAATTTTCTTGAAACCTAAAACTGCTCTAAAAAAAAATTCAGGCCATTGTCTGACTAGACTCTGGTTTGGCCACGTGCTCTTTGAGCTACAGCTATTACCATGCTTCCTAGCTTTGTTCTCCTCCCCTACCTTGGGGAGGTGAATCTCCTCTTTCTTTCTCTCTACTTTACTTTTGAAATAAACTATATTTTCTAATCTAAAAAGAAAAATCACCTATTAATTTTTTAAGCCAGGCACAGTGGCTCATGCCTGTCATCCTAGGATCTCTTGAGGACAGGAGTTCAAGACCAGCCTGGGCAACATCATGAGACCCTGTCTCTACAAAAAGTTTAAATTTTTTTTTAATAAAATGATCCCCAGTAAGGGGGGAAAAAAAAAAGGCAAAGAATCTGAATAAACATTTCTCCAAAGAAGATACACAAATGGATGATAAGCACAGGAAAAGATACCAGCCATCATTGTCAACAGGGAAATACAAATCAAAATCGCAATGAGCCCAGTGCAGAAGCTCAGGCTTATAATTCTAGCACTTTGAGAGGCTGAGGTGGGAGGATGCTTGCGCCCAGGAGTTTGAGACCAGCCTGGGAAACACAGCGAGACCTCATCTCCATTAAACATACATACACATACACACAACACACACGAGATACATCATACACACCAGGATGGTTAAAATCAAAAAGTCAGACAGTAGGTGTTTGTGGAGACATAGAGAAATTGAAACTTTCACACACAGCTGGTGAGAATATACAATCATCCAGCCATGGTGGAATCCAGCCATGGTGGAAAACAATCTGGCAGTTTTTCAAACAATTAAACAGAGTTACCACAGGATGCAGCAATTCCACTCCCAGGTATATATGCAGGAGAAATAGACACACAAAAGCATTTACAGCAGCATTATTCATAACAGTTCAAGGGGGAAAACAGCCCAAATATCCATCCACTGACAAATGAAAAAGCAAAACGTGGTGTTTCCGTGTAATGAAAACTCATTTAGTCATAAAAAGTAAGTACGTATACATATTACAACACATATCTCAAAAACGTAATGCCAAGTGAAAGAATCCTCATAACATGTCCAGAACGGGAAAATCCAGAGACAGAAAGTAGACTGGTGGCTGCCAGGGGCTGGGATGTGGGGAGGGGGAGTGCAGATGACTGATAAGGAAGGATGGGAAAGATGCCTGGGGGGCACAGGGAGCAGAGTGCAGTGGCGCAAGCCTATAGTCCCAATGACTTAGGAGCCTGCAGCAGGAGGATTGCTTGAGTTCAAGGCTGCAGTGAGCTATAATGCCCTCCAGCCTGGGCCACAGAGCAAGACTCATCTGTTTTTAAAAAAGATAGAAAAGCATAGAGGCCAGGTATCGTGGCTCACACCTGTGATCCCAAGCCCAGCAGTTTGGAGGGGGGGCTGAGGCGGGAAGACTGCTTGAGGTCAGGAGTTCAAGATCAGCCTAAGCAACACAGTAAAACCTCGTCTCACAGAAAACAAAAACTAGCTGGGAATGATGGTATGAGCCTGTAGTCCTAGCTACTGGAGAGGCTGAGGCAGGAGCGGGAGGCTGCAATAAGCTACTGCACTACCAAGATCCTCATTTTAAGTAAACAAATAAAAATCATAAAAATATACTTAAAATGTTTAATCTAAATTTTTTTAAAAAGAAAGTAAAGGGCACAGGATTTTGTTTCTTTATTGAGGTGATGTACCCACCACTCCCATCTGTACATGTTGTACACACAGATTTTTCATTCCTCCCGCTTCTGAACTGTATACTGTAAATGGGTGAGTTATATGATTTGTGAATGATCTTTCTATAAGCTGTTTTTAAATGCTACTGCTTGCTTGTGCTATTCTTGAGCCAAGCCACCACGGTATAATCACTGTAGGACCGACCCTGCCATCACCATGTGACACAGGAAGACTTAAAAATACACACAAGTACTGGGTGTGGTGGCTCATGCCTATAATCCCAGCACTTTGGGAGGCAGAGGCGAGAGGACTGCCTGAGCTCAGGAGTCCAAGACCAGCCTGAGCAACACGGTGAGACCTCGTCTCTGAAGCAAAAAATTAGCCGGACATGGTGGTGCACGCCTGTGATTCCAGCTACTTAGAAGGCTGAGGCAGAAGGATCACCTGAGCCCAGCAGGTCGAGGCTGCAGCGGCCGTGAGCATGCCACTGAATTTCAGCCTGGGCAACAGAGTGAGACGCCAACTCAAAA